TGGATGGATAGATGATGGATGGATGGTGGATGGATGGATAGATGGATGGTGGATGGACAGGTGAAGGATGGGTGGGTAGGTGGGTGGATGGATGGATGGGTGGATGGATGGGTGGATGGATGGATGGATGGATGGGTGGATGGATGGATGGATGAATGGATGGATGGATGGGTGGATGGATGGATGGATGGGTGGATGGATGGGTGGATGGATGGATGGATGGGTGGATGGATGCTTAAATTCTTGGATATGTACATGGATTATGGATGGGTGTGTGCATGCATACATGATATGTGTGCCTACATGGATGAGTGGCATTGATGGACAGATTAACCAACCCATCCTGAGACAACTCGCACTGTCCCCTTTATACCAACTGACTTCTGTCTCCTCGGATCTTTCCCTTTCTTCCAAAACTTTCCTCTAACTTTAGGACTCCCCTTTCTATGCACAATCCTGATTCCCTGTCTCTGAGTCTTCTCTAACTGAACCTTTCCCTTGCAGGTGGGTGGGGGTCACAGAAGCTGGGCTCTGGAATGTGCAGACCACAGAGGTGTTGGATAAGGCCTCCCCATCTCTGTTCCAGGACTACAACCTCAGCCTTCGCCTAGGCCTGCATTAATCTTCCAGTGTTTCCCACATGCTGAAGCTGTCACCAAACCAATGGATAAGAAACCCTAGGGCCACACACAATGCTAGGTCCCCACCCTGTTTGGTCCATGGTGCCCACATGCCAACACACAGAGGAAACGAATGTAGTTCCCTTTGTCCTTGCCTGCTGCTGTCCCCTCTGCCACAGCAGCTAAGAGGGCTGACATCGAAGGATACCTCCCTGTCTCAGACACAGCATGAGGATGGCCAGTGCAGAGGCAGCTGGCCAGAGGGCCCACACTGGGCCCTGGGGTTAGTTCCAGTGAGTGGGCACCGGTGCTGGCCTCGCTAAGGCTTAGGGGCTTCGACAGATGATCCAAATGCCCTTCCTTTCCCACCTGCCCTCACCAATCCAAAGGAAGCTACGTTTCCAGTCAGCCTGGCCCAAATGCCCACCCTGTTGGGAACTCACTCGCTTCTTTGAAG